TTTAATAAAAATTAATATTTTTTCTTGAACATTAACTTACCAAGCACTGAGTAAGTGCACAAATTAATAAGCATAATCCAAATAAACCTATTTTTCTTGTTTTCTGAAAGCGAAATATTTCCTGTTGCACACATCAAACAAGTCAGTACAAGACTAATGACATGGCAATCGGCTGCTAAAATTCACTGCTTTGTTTTCTGAAAGCGAAATATTTCCTGTTGCACACATCAAACAAGTCAGTACAAGACTAATGACATGGCAATCGGCTGCTAAAATATTCACTGCTAGTATTAGTGGAGAGAAATCGTGTGCCTGCGCATAAGGCGCGTAAGGGAAGTGAATGCAACACAATTACAGTAACCAGCCATTAGTGAACATTGTAGTTCATCACTAATAATTATGTGTAACAGGATATTGTAAAAATTAAGTCACAAAATTTTTATTAAAACGTTTCTTACATACCCTTATATTGGTTGGATCACAAAAAATATTTGTTGTGGGCCGCGAGTTTGACATGCTTGCTATATAGCGTACATTGATAACTGATGGTGTTTTAGCAAATAATCTACCTAAAGCTGAGGGTCTGTTTATTGTAAATCAATAGTACTAGAAAGTACTGCCTATTTTGTGTATTTTATTTTTTTTACTGATTAATTTTGATAAATTCTTGCTTCAAGGATGAACATTAACTCCTCTGGTTCATGTATATATTTACTGGCTTATTGGTTATGAACATGTCTCTTTATAGCAATATCTCCATTTGCACAATTGTTGCAGCCTGTATACATGTAATAAGAGTTTGAAAAGTTCTTGTAAGATCAGCTAAGACTAAAACTAAAAACTCCCTCCTTTGAAAATATTTTAACTTTGCTTGACCAATCATAAAAAGTTTGTTCAACACCTAAAATAGACTTTGCTTTAAAAAACAACAATACACAGAGTAAATCTTTGAAATCTAAACCTTATATCTAAACCTATTATTTTATTTCATTCCTTTATTACTAGGACTTTTCAGCTAAACAGATATCAGTGGAGACTTGAAACCCCTGAATTTCTTGTAAAACTAGATGTAATTTTTTGTTTCTCTGAAAGGAGCTCTTGTTAAAATTTTAAATGGACTGTGATCCAAAAAGGTGTAAAGTCCTAACCTTACCAAATGTGGGCTGTACGATGAATTGTAAACATAAATTTGAAATAATAGTTGTAAAGCTAATGTTTAAAGCATCCTGAAAACAATTTTAAAAGAAAAAAATCTACAATGAAAACTAGAAAATTTCTGTTTGTGCTACTGATCTTGAACCTTGAAGGGATTAGGGCAGATAAGATAGTACTGGTGGAAGAGGGACATAAAGGTGAATTTTATCCCACAAAAGATATATCTTAGCCATTTAATCCTTTTTTTTCTGATGAAAAACTTCTATTTTGCCTTAACAGAAACCCCCCAAAATACATTTTATATTAAATGGTGGAGATCAATATTTAATATAATACAAGACCAGATTTGTTCTTGGGGGGGGGGATCATATTTTCTCATGTACTTGAAAGGAATAAAACTATGTAACATGGAACCTGCTAAAAATAAAGAACCAACATTCCATGCAGATTTCCATAGTGTATTTTACCTTAGTATTAGAGAAAGTAAAAAAAAAA